GACCACCACCCCCAGGCCCTTTCCCGCCGGGCAGCTCCCAGCCGCTCCTCCCCACGCCTGCAGCGGTGCCTGGGGTTGTTGTGCCCCCAGTGCAGGACCCGGCCCTGAGCCTTGCTGACCCTCACCCAGTGCCTGGGCCCATCGACCCAGCCTGGCCAGGGCCCTCTGCAGGGCCTTCTGCCCTCCAGCAGATCGACACTTCCACCCAACTTGGTGTCACCTGCAAACTGACTGAAGGTGAATGAACTTACATGCTCATGAGCCGCTCACATGGCCACAGCTTGTCACACCCACCCCTGCCTGGCCTGCACATGTCTTTCAGCGTGTGCTCCCACAGCACTGCAGCAGTCACTTGTGCCTCTCCTTCCACGCAGCCACGTGGACGCTGTTCATCCGTGTGTCCTACCTGTGCCCACTGGGGCCTGTGCAGGTTGAGGCAGTGACGCCATGCCTTGCTCAGTTTCCTGCAGCCGAGTTACCTGCACGCAGCGCACATGGTCCCACACCTCCTGCCCTGTCCCTTGTCTGGTCTCTGAAACTCTGTCCCTACGCCGTGCCCCTCCCCAGAGCTCAGAGCCTCAGCTGTTCGCCTCTCAGTGTCCAGGCTGCCAGCCCCCAGCACCCTGATCGCTGTGGCCAGGCGCTGCACGGCAAGCACTGCCATGCTCTATGAGCAAAGTGGGCTCCGTGAATTATGCAGCAGTTTCCTGCTGCAGCACCAGCCTCCTCACTCTGCCTCTTGGCCCTGAATAATTGATATCAGTGAGCACAGCAGCAGCAGCAGCAGCCCCAGCGTCCTTCTTGTGCCAGGGGCCAGGCCGTTAGGAGGCATGGGGCTAGGCATGCAGGAAGGCCAGGGGCTATGGGGACGGTCTGAACTATGGAAGACAGGGAGCAATGGAAAGCAGAGTTCCCTGGCACATTGGACAGTGGTTGTAAAAGTGGGATGCCTCTTAAGAAATGCTGACTAGTAATAACAGGAAAATCCAGAACAAACTGATCACACAGGCTGGATGCAAACCACGGGCACATCTCCATGAGAACATCCAGGCTAGGACATTAGCCAGCCTTACCCCTGCTTTGTCTTTGGGCTGAAACTCCTCACCTCTGCCTGCTGCGTGGTTAATCCCAGACCAGTGCCACTGTGCCTGACTGTGCCTGTGCTTGTACACCACCTCTGGTCTTGCCTTACTCTTATTTTGGATAAACTGAACAAATGGAGGTCTTCAGGACATTAGACTTCAATTCCTTTCTGTGCCTGTCTGCCGAGCTTTCTCTGGTTTTCAAAAGCAGACAGGTACAATAGCAACAGGGTACAGCCTTCCTGGGGTGCAGAACCTCCCCTTTTCCTCCTCATTCTCCTTATCACTCCCTTCCACCAGAGAATTGCTGTTGCTCTTGGCACTGTCCCTTCCTCGCTCTGATTACAAGTCCTCGGTCTGCAGGATATGGGCTCCTATGTTCAGGCACAAGCAGCAGTCCTTGAGCCTGAGTGTGAAAGCCTGTCACTACTGTATGAAAACATACTTTGTTTGACAAGTGCGCAGGCTCCCATGGGACCCAGCCTGCCCCGAACAATGCCCTGCTCCCTGCCTGTCCCTGCGCGCATCTGGAGAAAAGCAGCTTTGTTTGCTCTTCCAGAAGGCGGGAAGCCAAGAGCCGGGCCAGCGGCTGGGGGGCGCCCCCCGCCACAGGAGCGGGGCAGGGGACGTCCACCCGGGCCGCCCAGCTCGCCGCCGCACGCCGAGGCGCCCGTCGTCTCCCAGGACAGCCTGATGGCTCCCCGGCCTCAGCCCCGGCGCGGCTGGGAGCAGGCGCTGGACACACGGGCTGCGTCCGCAGCCTCCAAACCTGGGCGACGCTGAGGGCGACTCTGTCGGAAGCCCCTGTTGTTAACAAACCACCCCCGGCAGCAGCAGCCGGGGCAGGCCCGGGCCGCAGGAGGCCGCCTGCACCGGGCGCGGCGCTCCGGGAGGCGGCTGCGAGGGACCAACGCCGCCGCGGAGCCTGCGCGGCCCCTTCCAAGCGCTGCCCCGCGACGGACTACAGTTCCCGGCATGCCCCGCCGCGGGGCCGGGTCACGCGGCTGCCCGCGCGCGTCAGGCGGGCGGCGG